ATTAATATTTCGCCGCTGCCAAACGTTGTTTTTCGCCGCCGCTACCCTTTCTTGACACTGGTGTTTACCGTAACCAACGGAAGCACAGACAGTCCGGTCAAGAAAAACGTTATTGTGTTTGAACTGCCGATCGAGAAACTGCGTTGCAGTCTCGACCGAGCATAAAGAACCGCCGATCGAGAAACAGCGTTACATAGTTGAAACCGTGATAATATTTCCGATCGATTCACAGTGTTGGAACGTCGATTTTCATACGTAAACACACGGTAAACATATTGATACGGTAGTAATCAATAGTTTTACCTACCTAACCGTTTACTTTCGCACAACTGCTAATACATCGTCTAAGTGAACGACCATTTCGGACTACCCGCAACAAGCAGCTCAGTTGGACATTACAGTGACAGTTTCCAAGCAGTATCCGTGAGTCCAATACTACTACCTTGTATTTTGTCAAATTTATCCTTGCTAAACGTATTTTTAAATGTACATTGCTTAATGCAATTAAAATCATATATAAAAGAAAATATTGTCACTTAATAACTACATTGAACAATATTGTCAATAAACAAAAGATAATATTATATTTGAAGCAAATACTTGTCTCTGCATTCATTTATTTATATTACACGGTATTGAATATCTTATCATAATATATATGTATAGTTTATATTATGATGTTTTTTTATCGAATTATTTAAATAGTGTTTAAATAATCATTATACATGCCCAAGTGTTGTAGCTCAGTGGTTAAGGCGTTTGATTTAAATGTGTTCTTGGTCGGATTGAAACTAGTGGGGAATGTGTAGCGCTTTTTTTTCCATATTTCTATTAAAAATATTAAAAAATAACACGATCGTATATGTCCTATATTTCATTTAATATTTGATATTATCAAGTCGGAACAACACAGATATGTTTTATATGCTTATCTACACTACATATTAAAAGTTTACCCCCCGCTTCATATTTTTCATTTAAGTATAACTCCGTTGCTATTTATGTTAGAATCTTCATTTTTACATTAAACATTTTTGATTTTAATTCTTTATAAGTCCCCCTCATAGTATCATAGTGTAAAATCGTTTTTAAAGATTTTTGGATTTTAATAACGCGCCCACATGCGAAGACAACATATTTTAATATTTCCTAAATCTTGAACAACAAAAATATCATGGAGATATTCGGCAATAATACCAGTTGTATTTATTAAATCATTAGCTATTTTACAAATTTCAAGCCATGTTGGCGATTCTAGTACTTTAGAAACATAAGGTTTTCCTAGTTTTCGTTTTCTATGTATAGAAATATTGTTTCCAACAATTAAAATATTTCCTTCAATTGGAATTTTATGTAGATTATATTTAATATGCTCAGAATTTTCATAGTATTCAAAAGCACAAAATTTCACATACATTTTTTTTTTTTTTATACTTTTTTTTATTTCATTTTGCATTTCTTTTTCTTGTACCTTATTAAAATTATTTATAGATTCCATTCTTTTATTATAAATATCAATTCCTTTAACTAAGGTATTCAATTTCTTTAAAAATATTTTAATTATTATTGCATTTCGATTTTAATTATTAATATCATAAGTATTATGAAAAATATTTTGGGTGTATTTAATAAGTTTTGCGAAAAATGTTTTTATTATTATTGCATTTCGATTTTTATTTTTAATAATTAAGTTTTGCGGAAAATATTTTTATTATTATTGCATTTCATACGTTTTGCGAAAAATTTTTTTAATTATTATTGCATTTCATAAGTTTTGCGAAAAATTTTTTTAATTATTATTGCATTTCAATTTTCTGATCTTTTTGCACATTGTTTTCTTTGTGATCTTTTACTGATATATTATTATTAAAGGTGCACCTTAAAGGTGCTGCGCCAGGACTGGTATATATATACTACTGGGGGCAGTACAAGAAGCAACACTATGCCCAGATTTTAAACATATAAAACATAAACTATGATCACTCACAAACTTGCGGCGTACCGTGACTGATTTGCGTTTAAATCCAAAGCAGCGATAAATTTGATGTTCATGTTGACAAAATAAACACTTTGATGTTGTAGATGTAGATGAAATTGACAGTGAAGTTTTGCCAAGGGACCCACTTTTGTTCTTCTTACCACTACCTTTAAAAATGCTATCTTGTTTATCATTAATTCCAACCGAGGTTCCAACATTTTCTAAAATTTTGCATCTATGTGCGACAAATTGTAACAATGTATCCAAGTTAGGTACTGAATCTTGTGCGATACTTGCTTCGAATAGTCTCCTTGTCTCTGTATCAATTACCCGAGCACCAATATGAAACAAAATAAAACCAGCCAGATCCTCGACACCAAGTGCTTTAATAGCAGAAACATTTTCAGTAAATGTATGAACAAACGAAGACAGTGACGACAATGATTCCTTTTTCAATGGCACAAATGAAAATAATTTATCAATATGTAATATAATCAAATGTATTATATTAAACCAGACAAAACAAGCAGAATAATAGTGTTGATTGTAGCGAATTGTAGCTCGTTCCGAAGTTGATAATCTCCGTGTAAGTCGTGTGTGATGGCTGGGCGGCTAAGCGAGTCGTGTGTTGTTCTCGTCTCTGGATACATCTAACTCAGGCTGTCTCGCTGTCCCCTATATATATGGTGGCGGCGTCCTTTGAAGTGAGCGGCGCGTGTACAGTCGTCCTTGATATGGACCTCACGACTATGAAAGTGGTATTCGTAGTCGAAAACACTTTTGGGTGTGGTCGCATTTCTGGTTGTTATTATGAGCAAATATATGATATTGCGTAATCCCATTCCTGGTTGTTATTATGAGCAAAATACATGATATTGCGTAATCCCATTACACTGTTTTTTTTTGGATGTTTGTCCACGCGATTTCTCGACAATGGTGAAGTGTTGTACATATGTAACTTGGTTATTTAATTTGGATCTTATACTTTGTGCTATTTAATATTTATTTTTAATAAAATTACTACCTGACACAATTTCTTGTTTTGTTTAACTAATTCCTTATAAGTAGACTTGTAATACGCATATCTTTTTCATAGTTATAATCATGATCTGATAACTTGCTACTTCCTGTTGAAGTGACAGACATAATCAAAGTTAAAATTTAAAGACTGTGTCAAGAAAATAAACCAACCTTGTGCACCTTGTGCACCATTAACCTTTTTTTTAGTAGACCTACCAGAAAAATTATTTTAAAAGGGTAAGTTTGTTTACAAAACGTTATAAAAAGGACTAGCTTAAATAGGTACATTCTAGTAAATTAACTTCGTTGTTTTTAAATTTAAATTTGTTTTACTTTCAGAATTGTTAAATATTATCTGCCAACGTGGATATTGCTATTTGCTATTAACTTACCCAACACTTGCATGCAACATAGACGTCTGTTTGAGAGAGGATTTCCGAGGAATTTAATCTCATGCTGTTTACAAAATTAATTAATCGTGTTTAATTTCTACACATATTTTGCACTTTAAAAATGATAACCAATGTTTCTACATTATACATAAGGTAGGTACCTAATATCATATTATTCAGTTTTTATTAAATGTAATTTAGATTTTTGTATTTGGTTTCAGGTACATTACAAACATTACAATTAATGTATTGATACTCGACGACGAGCCTAAAATGTGTAATTAATCTTTAAAACATATTTTTTGGACACAATTATTTACAGATAGTATTTGCACATAGTTGTAAGTAAAATATTTTTTCATGCTTTTTTTTCCGTTTAGGTATAACAAACGTAATTTGATTTCAGAACAAATTCAAACTTATTAGTTATTATTTCTATTTTGTGAAGCTCATACTTAAATGTTCAATAATTATGGATATTTAAAAACTAGAACAAAGTATTGTCACTTTAAAACATTTTATTAAGTAGGCACTGTTCTATGTAGTACTGTTAGTTGCACCATTAGTCATTAAGTTCCCGTCGTCGTATTGCTGCTAACGTTGGCAACACTTGGTGCTATCGGTAGTCAGCTGCGATGATGGGGCTTACTGATAATGGTTCATTTTTCTGCAACTACAGTTTTTGTTTTTAAATTATCTTTCTCTCTGTCGGTTATTATTGTCTAACCTTTGTGCTTGTCATGCCTCATTATTATGTTTTTATGTCGCCTTTTGATTATTGTAAAAACCTCGTGACAAACTAAATATTGTTTTTGGCTGTGCTGCTGCGATCTGCTCTATTGTCTGGTAAATATGGTTCAGCAACTCTAATTGATCATTATTATTATTAGTTTTTTCTTGCTATAGGGTTGTCATTTTACCAGCAATAGGGCATTTTGGCCACCTCTTGTGTTGGTCCTGCATATTATTTTGTTCGAGGGTTTGTGTTGGCGGCATATTTTTGTGTATTCATTCGTGTCGTTCTGCGTGGCCACGTAAGTTGTTTTTGTTGCAATTTTATGAGCTGCAGCGTTTAATAATTATATTTATACTTGAAATTTGTAGCCGCATGAGGCACATTGTTATACATTTATATAGTTTATTTTTTTATACTTGAAAGTTGTAGCCGCCTGAGGCAATTATATTTTGTTATTGTACCTCTTATATTTTATATTCAACCAGGCAAATGTGTTATTATAATTATTCATTCAGCCAATAAAAATTTATACTGTAAACTATTATTAAATTATTATTCTTATTTATTTCCACGGGAAGACGGCAAGGCCAGCCTATTATTATTATAGGCACCTTATGCGTAACATTTTTGGTCCTTCGGGCCGGATATGTTTAATATTAAAATAAATAGGCTGAAATTGCATTGATTTTTGCCTGGTTGTATATCTTTATTGAAATCCATTTAATTATTATTTTTATATTGTGAAATTTTGTGTTTATTCGAAAAAGAAATATATTATTAATATTGTAATAAAAAGGCAAAAAACTGTAACTTTTAGGCTTATTAGCTATTTTTTCTATTGTTAATAAAACTGAGCAACTCAGCTATTGTCATTATGGCCAAAGTAGCAAAAACTCAAATTCAGTCTATGATAACTGCATTGAATGATATTAATATTTTTGTTAGAGACTACACAACTGAACATAACACAAAAACAAAACTAATGGTACAACTAGAAGAAATTTCCACTATGGCAGACAAGTTTGAGGATTGTCAAGCAATAGTAGAAGAAGAGGATCAAACAAAATCTCAAAAGGAGTGGATTGAAGAAAGAAGTTTTTTTCGAAAACTCCTACGTGGAGTAAAGGTGTCATTATTGGAGCTTATAGAAAAATATGAAGCAACTAGTAATTCTGTGACCGCTCCATCGTATAGTGAAATTTCTAGAAGTAAAAAGTTCAACATGTTGAGGCTTCCAACACTAAAAACACCCTCCTTCAATGGTGATTGGCAACAATGGACAGCATTCATTGATGATTTCAATACAATGTTTCACAATAATGAAGATGTACCCATTATCTTAAAGTTTCACTATTTGAAAACCTGTGTTGAAGGCCCAGCAAGAGAAGTTATTCAAAATTTTAAGACAACTGAAGAAAATTATCAGGTAGCTTATGATGTCTTAAAATTGAGATACGAAAATAAAAGTGCAATAATACAATCTCATATGCGTTCACTACTCAATACGCCAAAGGTGATGTCAGCCTCTGCTAGTGAGTTGCAACGACTGCATTATCACATATCGTCAAACATCAATGCGCTAACAGCCTTTCAGCAGCCAGTAGACCAATGGGATGCTTGGCTAGTAACCCTTATGTGCACTCGCTTAGATAGTGTAACCGTTGCTGAGTGGCAGCTCAAACAGGACACCAAAGAGCTACCAAAATATAAAGACTTAGAACTCTTTTTGTCTAATCGGATAACAGCATATGAAGCTGGTGACATAGCAATGATATCCTGTTCTGACGACGCAAATAAAACCAACGTTACTAATAAACCTTGATCAAAAAAGGTCTTTCTAACAAACACTAATAATAATCAGCATAATATGGGAAAGACATTTGCATCTCCAAGATGTAATCATTGTGCTGGTCCGCATAGGATACCCAATTGTGAAAGGTTTGAGGCTATGTCCATTAAGGAACGCCAGGACCTTGTGGAAAAAAACAGATTGTGTTTCAATTGTTTATACTATGGACACAGAGTTGACAAATGCAGATTTCCACAGTGCTCTAAGTGTGGGAAACGTCACCATGAAAAGCTACATACTGATGGTGACTCGGTGGATCAACCGTCAACAGAACCAGAGAGAGTTGTAACCCTTGCTAAAGTTCTTACTTCCCAAAATAACATAATTTCCATAGTGAAAAATCTAGATATTTACATTTAATCAAACAATTTTATTAAACTGTGTACAGTGTGATCACGATAAGTGGAAACATTCAATAACTATGTGCAGGCTTCATGTATTTCGATTCTGCTTTTTTAGCTGACTAGTAAACAGTATTATCCACATTTTAAAATAATTAGACCATAATGGTCACAAGAATGATTCTTGTGACAGTTAATTTTGCAAATGTGCACAATATTTTTTTACTTATTAAATGGCACAGACCTATCTTTGACCACAAATTATTTATACATGGGTAAAACAGATTATAAAATACGAAGTTAACATAAAATCAGATTACTATAACTCGGTCATTTATTAACTTAGAAAAGAAATTCAACCACTAAAATTAATTAAAAAATACAAAGAAAATTAGTTTGTGGTCAAAGATGGGTCGTGCCATTAAAAAAAAATTAATATTGTGCACATTCGCAAAATTAACTGTCACAAGAATCATTCTTGTACGGTAACATAAAAAGCCAGGGAGCTCTTGAAATTTATCTCGTCGGATAGTAAATTTTCCTGGCTTTCCGAATATCTATGTAAGGTCCTTCGACTCCTTCCGGAACACTGCCGGAAAAATCAAAAACCACGCGCGCGTATACGTTTCACGTCTTACCGGCATTAGTCACCTGGCACTTTCGTGCACTAAGTACGGTTACTTAAAAAGCCAGGGAGCTCTTGAAATTTATCTCGTCGGATAGTAAATTTTCCTGGCTTTCCGAATATCTATGTAAGGTCCTTCGACTCCTTCCGGAACACTGCCGGAAAAATCAAAAACCACGCGCGCGTATACGTTTCACGTCTTACCGGCATTAGTCACCTGGCACTTTCGTGCACTAAGTACGGTTACTTAAAAAGCCAGGGAGCTCTTGAAATTTATCTCGTCGGATAGTAAATTTTCCTGGCTTTCCGAATATTTATGTTAGGTCCTTCGACTCCTTCCGGAACACTGCCGGAAAAATCAAAAACCACGCGCGCGTTTACGTTTCGCGCCCTACCGGCATTGTTCACCAGACGCGCGTATACGTTTCACGTCATACCGGCATTAGTCACCTGGCACTTTCGTGCACTAAGTACGGTTACTTAAAAAGCCAGGGAGCTCTTGAAATTTATCTCGTCTAATAGTAAATTTTCCTGGCTTTCCGAATATTTATGTTAGGTCCTTCGACTCCTTCCGGAACACTGCCGGAAAAATCAAAAACCACGCGCGCGCTTACGTTTCACGTCTTACCGGCATTAGTCACCTGGCACTTTCGTGCACTAAGTACGGTTACTTAAAAAGCCAGGGAGCTCTTGAAATTTATCTCGTCTAATAGTAAATTTTCCTGGCTTTCCGAATATTTATGTTAGGTCCTTCGACTCCTTCCGGAACACTGCCGGAAAAATCAAAAACCACGCGCGCGCTTACGTTTCACGTCTTACCGGCATTAGTCACCTGGCACTTTCGTGCACTAAGTACGGTTACTTAAAAAGCCAGGGAGCTCTTGAAATTTATCTCGTCGGATAGTAAATTTTCCTGGCTTTCCGAATATCTATGTTAGGTCCTTCGACTCCTTCCGGAACACTGCCTGAAAAATCAAAAACCACGGGATTGTATACGTTTCGCGTCATACCGGCATTAGTCACCTGGCACTTTCGTGCACTAAGTACGGTTACTTAAAAAGCCAGGGAGCTCTTGAAATTTATCTCGTCTAATAGTAAATTTTCCTGGCTTTCCGAATATTTATGTTAGGTCCTTCGACTCCATCCGGAACACTGCCGGAAAAATCAAAAACCACGCGCGCGTTTACGTTTCACGTCATACCGGCATTAGTCACCTGGCACTTTCGTGCACTAAGTACGGTTACCCCCAAAGCCCGGGAGCTCTTGAAATTTATCTCGTCGGATAGTAAATTTTCCTGGCTTTTCGAATATCTATGTTAGGTCCTTCGACTCCTTCCGGAACACTGCTGCAAAAATCAAAAACCACGCGCCCTTATACGTTTCACGTCATACCGGCATTAGTCACCTGGCACTTTCGTGCACTAAGTACGGTTACCCCCAAAGCCCGGGAGCTCTTGAAATTTATCTCGTCGGATAGTAAATTTTCCTGGCTTTCCGAATATCTATGTTAGGTCCTTCGACTCCTTCCGGAACACTGCCGGAAAAATCAAAAACCACGCGCGCGCTTACGTTTCACGTCTTACCGGCATTAGTCACCTGGCACTTTCGTGCACTAAGTACGGTTACTTAAAAAGCCAGGGAGCTCTTGAAATTTATCTCGTCGGATAGTAAATTTTCCTGGCTTTCCGAATATCTATGTTAGGTCCTTCGACTCCTTCCGGAACACTGCCGGAAAAATCAAAAACCACGCGCGCGCTTACGTTTCACGTCTTACCGGCATTAGTCACCTGGCACTTTCGTGCACTAAGTACGGTTACTTAAAAAGCCAGGGAGCTCTTGAAATTTATCTCGTCGGATAGTAAATTTTCCTGGCTTTCCGAATATCTATGTTAGGTCCTTCGACTCCTTCCGGAACACTGCCGGAAAAATCAAAAACCACGGGATTGTATACGTTTCGCGTCATACCGGCATTAGTCACCTGGCACTTTCGTGCACTAAGTACGGTTACTTAAAAAGCCAGGGAGCTCTTGAAATTTATCTCGTCTAATAGTAAATTTTCCTGGCTTTCCGAATATTTATGTTAGGTCCTTCGACTCCATCCGGAACACTGCCGGAAAAATCAAAAACCACGCGCGCGTTTACGTTTCACGTCATACCGGCATTAGTCACCTGGCACTTTCGTGCACTAAGTACGGTTACCCCCAAAGCCCGGGAGCTCTTGAAATTTATCTCGTCGGATAGTAAATTTTCCTGGCTTTTCGAATATCTATGTTAGGTCCTTCGACTCCTTCCGGAACACTGCTGCAAAAATCAAAAACCACGCGCCCTTATACGTTTCACGTCATACCGGCATTAGTCACCTGGCACTTTCGTGCACTAAGTACGGTTACCCCCAAAGCCCGGGAGCTCTTGAAATTTATCTCGTCGGATAGTAAATTTTCCTGGCTTTCCGAATATCTATGTTAGGTCCTTCGACTCCTTCCGGAACACTGCCGGAAAAATCAAAAACCACGCGCGCGCTTACGTTTCACGTCTTACCGGCATTAGTCACCTGGCACTTTCGTGCACTAAGTACGGTTACTTAAAAAGCCAGGGAGCTCTTGAAATTTATCTCGTCGGATAGTAAATTTTCCTGGCTTTCCGAATATCTATGTTAGGTCCTTCGACTCCTTCCGGAACACTGCCGGAAAAATCAAAAACCACGCGCGCGCTTACGTTTCACGTCTTACCGGCATTAGTCACCTGGCACTTTCGTGCACTAAGTACGGTTACTTAAAAAGCCAGGGAGCTCTTGAAATTTATCTCGTCGGATAGTAAATTTTCCTGGCTTTCCGAATATCTATGTTAGGTCCTTCGACTCCTTCCGGAACACTGCCGGAAAAATCAAAAACCACGCGCGCGCTTACGTTTCACGTCTTACCGGCATTAGTCACCTGGCACTTTCGTGCACTAAGTACGGTTACTTAAAAAGCCAGGGAGCTCTTGAAATTTATCTCGTCGGATAGTAAATTTTCCTGGCTTTCCGAATATCTATGTTAGGTCCTTCGACTCCTTCCGGAACACTGCCTGAAAAATCAAAAACCACGGGATTGTATACGTTTCGCGTCATACCGGCATTAGTCACCTGGCACTTTCGTGCACTAAGTACGGTTACTTAAAAAGCCAGGGAGCTCTTGAAATTTATCTCGTCGGATAGTAAATTTTCCTGGCTTTCCGAATATTTATGTTAGGTCCTTCGAATCCCTCCGGAACACTGCCGGAAAAATCAAAAACCACGCGCGCGTTTACGTTTCGCGCCCTACAGGCATTGTTCACCAGACGCGCGTATACGTTTCACGTCATACCGGCATTAGTCACCTGGCACTTTCGTGCACTAAGTACGGTTACTTAAAAAGCCAGGGAGCTCTTGAAATTTATCTCGTCGGATAGTAAATTTTCCTGGCTTTCCGAATATCTATGTTAGGTCCTTCGACTCCTTCCGGAACACTGCCGGAAAAATCAAAAACCACGCGCGCGCTTACGTTTCACGTCTTACCGGCATTAGTCACCTGGCACTTTCGTGCACTAAGTACGGTTACTTAAAAAGCCAGGGAGCTCTTGAAATTTATCTCGTCGGATAGTAAATTTTCCTGGCTTTCCGAATATCTATGTTAGGTCCTTCGACTCCTTCCGGAACACTGCCGGAAAAATCAAAAACCACGCGCGCGCTTACGTTTCACGTCTTACCGGCATTAGTCACCTGGCACTTTCGTGCACTAAGTACGGTTACTTAAAAAGCCAGGGAGCTCTTGAAATTTATCTCGTCGGATAGTAAATTTTCCTGGCTTTCCGAATATTTATGTTAGGTCCTTCGAATCCCTCCGGAACACTGCCGGAAAAATCAAAAACCACGCGCGCGTTTACGTTTCGCGCCCTACAGGCATTGTTCACCAGACGCGCGTATACGTTTCACGTCATACCGGCATTAGTCACCTGGCACTTTCGTGCACTAAGTACGGTTACTTAAAAAGCCAGGGAGCTCTTGAAATTTATCTCGTCGGATAGTAAATTTTCCTGGCTTTTCGAATATCTATGTTAGGTCCTTCGACTCCTTCCGGAACACTGCTGCAAAAATCAAAAACCACGCGCCCTTATACGTTTCACGTCATACCGGCATTAGTCACCTGGCACTTTCGTGCACTAAGTACGGTTACCCCCAAAGCCCGGGAGCTCTTGAAATTTATCTCGTCGGATAGTAAATTTTCCTGGCTTTCCGAATATCTATGTTAGGTCCTTCGACTCCTTCCGGAACACTGCCGGAAAAATCAAAAACCACGCGCGCGCTTACGTTTCACGTCTTACCGGCATTAGTCACCTGGCACTTTCGTGCACTAAGTACGGTTACTTAAAAAGCC